GATATATTTCCGAATATTCTGAATACATGTGTATATGTTAACACGCCACCAAGTTACACGCAATTAACATGGTGTATGAAAATCGACATGGTTAAACCAAAGACATTAGAAAAGCTTCTAATGTCTTTGGTTAAACAGTCATCATTCAGGGCTGTAGCTAGCTTTTTTCACTAGGGGGGCAGCAAATGTATTTTTTTTAATTGCGTATAAATGTATAAAGGCGTAGAGGTGTGCAGTTGCGCCATAAGTTAATGGCTATGGGGGGGTATATCTATCTATTTTTAACAATAAAATCATCTTGACATATTTTATGAATATGTACAAAACATGGGATATTACAGTATGAACTTTAATACCTGAAACACTTTTGTTCTATCTTCATATATAAGCAACTGTTTTACATTAATGTACAGGACTGATTAATACAATTGATAGTTATGCAATACACAGTTTGTGTTTTCAACTTTGGCGATAGCATATTAATTAATCTCCAGTTATCTCTCGAATAAATCACTTCTGCGGAAGGAATGATGTAAAAAAAATCAACATTGGCAGCTGTGTGCAACGTTTGTTCGGAGCTGACATGGCTGACGTGTCAATCTGAAGTACTTGTAGGTAACGTTTGACCCACTATGCTGGGCGCATGCGTCTTACCTGTACGCGTCAAAGTGTCAACGCGCTCAGTAACAAATATAAACAAAGTACACGCAACTGGCTTACCATGTTTTATTTCAAATCGTGTACAAACTAAATACGTGGTTGCTTGAAACTTTTCTATTTTAAGGTTTAAAAAAAACTCAAACTCAGGGGAGCAGCTGCCCCCTGCCCCCCCCCGCTAGCTACGGCCTTGTCGTTATTACTATTTCATTTAATAGTGTACATCTTCATTATAATTACTTTTCATAACCAATAAATAGATTTGTTCAACTCGTTTCGAATTTTTATAAATTGTGAGTTAACAATGTCCGCGTTCGAAACTGTCCTTGGGTCACTGTCACGTGCAATGAAACTGGTATGGTTATAATAACTACTCTCATTGTTCTAAAAAAATAAGGCAGAGTGTAATTTCGGTCGGGAGGGTAGTATTCTTGAAAGAAGTTAATAATGCGGTATTACAATTTAACTTTACGAAACTCATTTTTATTTTTTGGGAGGTGAGAATGACCACATTCACAGCTGTCCTCGTCATGTGCAGCGGCACCAACTACTTTTAATGTTCTCATCCACCGAGAGTAGTTTAATGGCTGGGAAGGGAGTATCACTAAAAGGCGTTAATAGTGGGTTCATCCTGGGTCATTGTACAGGTAAAATGGCATCAACTGTGCTGACGTCCTTTGGAGAGAGGCTGCTCTAAATTCACAAGTTCTCTGTAGACACTGCTTGAAGGAAGCGCTATCGCACTCCAAATTTGATGTTTGATGAAAAGTACAAAAAAGTAATCAATTTTGAAGACATAAAAAATGACCAACACTAACAATTCAGGAAACAAGAAGCTCAAATTTCTGAACATGGATCAACTTAATTTGTATTTGTTAATTTATATTTTCCTAAAAGTGAACATTCCTTCTATAATAGCCCCTTTCGCTGGGAAACTACCCTAAATGCGGACATTTCCTCTATATCACGCCCTGCCGCAGGGGAGAATACCCTAAATGCGAACACTCCTTCTATATCACACCCTGCCGCAGTGGTGACTATCCTAAATGCGAATACTCCCTCTATATCACACCCTGCCCCAAGGGAGAATACCCTAAATGCGAATACTCCCTTTATATCACACCCTGCCCCAGGGGAGAATACCCTAAATGCAAACACTCCCTCTATATCACACCCTGCCCCAGGGGAAAATACCCTAAATGTAAACACTCCCTCTATATCACACCTTGCCCCAGG